GAGTAGGTCACCGTGGATATAGGATGTATAGGTAGGGCACCGTGGATATAGGATGTGTGGGTAGGGCACCGTGGATATAGGATGTGTAGCTAGGACACCGTGGATATAGGATGTGTGAGTAGGTCACCGTTGATATAGGATGTGTAGGTGGGGCACCGTGGATATAGGATGTGTGGGTAGGGCACCGTGGATATAGGATGTGTAGGCAGGGCACCGTGGATATAGGATGTGTAGGTAGGGCACCGTGGATATAGGATGTGTGGGTCGGGCACCGTGGATATAGGATGTGTGGGTAGGGCACCGTGGATATAGGATGTGTGGGTAGGGCACCGTGGATATAGCATGTGTGGGTAGGGCACCGTGGATATAGGAAGTGTTGGTAGGGCACCGTGGATATAGGATGTGTGGGTAGGGCACCATGGATATAGGATGTGTAGGTAGGGCACCGTGGAAATAGGATGTGTGGGTAGGGCACTGTGGATATAGGATGTGTAGGTAGGGCACCGTGGAAATAGGATGTGTAGGTAGGGCACTGTGGATATAGGATGTGTGAGTAGGGCACCGTGGATATAGGATGTGTAGGTAGGGCACCATGGATATAGGATGTGTAGGTAGGGCACCGTGGATATAGGATGTGTAGGTAGGGCACCGTGGATATAGGATGTGTGGGTAGGGCACCGTGGATATAGGATGTGTAGGTAGGGCACCTTGGATATAGGATGTGTGGGTAGGGCACCATGGATATAGGATGTGTAGGTACGGCACCGTGGATATAGGATGTGTGGGTAGGGCACCGTGGATATAGGATGTGTAGGAAGGGCACCGTGGATATAGGATGTGTAGGTAGTGCACCGTGGATATAGGATGTGTGGGTAGGGCACCGTGGATATAGGATGTGTAGGTATGGCACCGTGGATATAGGATGTGTAGGTAGGGCACCGTGGATATAGGATGTGTAGGTAGGGCACCGTGGATATAGGATGTGTAGGTAGGGCACCGTGGATATAGGATGTGTAGGTAGGGCACCGTGGATATAGGATGTGTGGGTAGGGCACCGTGGATATAGGATGTGTGGGTAGGGCACCGTGGATATAGGATGTGTAGGTGGGGCACCATGGATATAGGATGTGTAGAGGTAGGGCACCGTGGATATAGGATGTGTAGGTAGGGCACCGTGGATACAGGATGTGTGGGTAGGGCACCGTGGATATAGGATGTGTAGGTAGGGCACCGTGAATATAGGATGTGTGGGTAGGGCACCGTGGATATAGGATGTGTAGGTGGGGCACCATGGATATAGGATGTGTAGAGGTAGGGCACCGTGGATATAGGATGTGTAGGTAGGGCACCGTGGATACAGGATGTGTGGGTAGGGCACCGTGGATATAGGATGTGTAGGTAGGGCACCGTGGATATAGGATGTGTAGGTAGGGCACCGTGGATATAGGATGTGTGGGTAGGGCACCGTGGATATAGGATGTGTAGGTAGGGCACCTTGGATATAGGATGTGTGGGTAGGGCACCATGGATATAGGATGTGTAGGTAGGGCACTGTGGATATAGGATGTGTGAGTAGGGCACCGTGGATATAGGATGTGTAGGTAGGGCACCATGGATATAGGATGTGTAGGTAGGGCACCGTGGATATAGGATGTGTAGGTAGGGCACCGTGGATATAGGATGTGTGGGTAGGGCACCGTGGATATAGGATGTGTAGGTAGGGCACCTTGGATATAGGATGTGTGGGTAGGGCACCATGGATATAGGATGTGTAGGTACGGCACCGTGGATATAGGATGTGTGGGTAGGGCACCGTGGATATAGGATGTGTAGGTAGGGCACCGTGGATATAGGATGTGTAGGTAGTGCACCGTGGATATAGGATGTGTGGGTAGGGCACCGTGGATATAGGATGTGTAGGTATGGCACCGTGGATATAGGATGTGTAGGTAGGGCACCGTGGATATAGGATGTGTAGGTAGGGCACCGTGGATATAGGATGTGTAGGTAGGGCACCGTGGATATAGGATGTGTAGGTAGGGCACCGTGGATATAGGATGTGTGGGTAGGGCACCGTGGATATAGGATGTGTGGGTAGGGCACCGTGGATATAGGATGTGTAGGTGGGGCACCATGGATATAGGATGTGTAGAGGTAGGGCACCGTGGATATAGGATGTGTAGGTAGGGCACCGTGGATACAGGATGTGTGGGTAGGGCACCGTGGATATAGGATGTGTAGGTAGGGCACCGTGAATATAGGATGTGTGGGTAGGGCACCGTGGATATAGGATGTGTAGGTGGGGCACCATGGATATAGGATGTGTAGAGGTAGGGCACCGTGGATATAGGATGTGTAGGTAGGGCACCGTGGATACAGGATGTGTGGGTAGGGCACCGTGGATATAGGATGTGTAGGTAGGGCACCGTGGATATAGGATGTGTAGGTAGGGCACCGTGGATATAGGATGTGTAGGTAGGGCACCGTGGATATAGGATGTGTGGGTAGGGCACCGTGGATATAGGATGTGTGGGTAGGGCACCGTGGATATAGGATGTGTGGGTAGGGCACCGTGGATATAGGATGTGTGAGTAGGGCACCGTGGATATAGGATGTGTAGGTAGGGCACCGTGGATATAGGATGTGTGGGTAGGGCACCATGGATATAGGATGTGTAGGTAGGGCACCGTGGAAATAGGATGTGTGGGTAGGGCACTGTGGATATAGGATGTGTAGGTAGGGCACCGTGGAAATAGGATGTGTAGGTAGGGCACTGTGGATATAGGATGTGTGAGTAGGGCACCGTGGATATAGGATGTGTAGGTAGGGCACCGTGGATATAGGATGTGTAGGTAGGGCACCGTGGATATAGGATGTGTAGGTAGGGCACCGTGGATATAGGATGTGTAGGTAGGGCACTGTGGATATAGGATGTGTGGGTAGGGCACCGTGGATATAGAATGTGTAGGTAGGGCACCTTGGATATAGGATGTGTGGGTAGGGCACCATAGATATAGGATGTGTAGGTACGGCACCGTGGATATAGGATGTGTGGGTAGGGCACCGTGGATATAGGATGTGTAGGAAGGGCACCGTGGATATAGGATGTGTAGGTAGTGCACCGTGGATATAGGATGTGTGGGTAGGGCACCGTGGATATAGGATGTGTAGGTATGGCACCGTGGATATAGGATGTGTAGGTAGGGCACCGTGGATATAGGATGTGTAGAGGTAGGGCACCGTGGATATAGGATGTGTAGGTAGGGCACCGTGGATATAGGATGTGTAGGTAGGGCACCGTGGATATAGGATGTGTAGGTAGGGCACCGTGGATATAGGATGTGTAGGTAGGGCACCGTGGATATAGGATGTGTGGGTAGGGCACCGTGGATATAGGATGTGTAGGTAGGGCACCGTGGATATAGGATGTGTGGGTAGGGCACCGTGAATATAGGATGTGTGGGTAGGGCACCGTGGATATAGGATGTGTAGGTGGGGCACCATGGATATAGGATGTGTAGAGGTAGGGCACCGTGGATATAGGATGTGTAGGTAGGGCACCGTGGATACAGGATGTGTGGGTAGGGCACCGTGGATATAGGATGTGTAGGTAGGGCACCGTGGATATAGGATGTGTAGGTAGGGCACCGTGGATATAGGATGTGTAGGTAGGGCACCGTGGATATAGGATGTGTGGGTAGGGCACCGTGGATATAGGATGTGTGGGTAGGGCACCGTGGATATAGGATGTGTGGGTAGGGCACCGTGGATATAGGATGTGTGAGTAGGGCACCGTGGATATAGGATGTGTAGGTAGGGCACCGTGGATATAGGATGTGTAGGTAGGGCACCGTGGATATAGGATGTGTGGGTAGGGCACCGTGGATATAGGATGTGTAGGTAGGGCACCGTGGATATAGGATGTGTAGCTAGGACACCGTGGATATAGGATGTGTGAGTAGGGCACCGTGGATATAGGATGTGTAGGTAGGGCACCGTGGATATAGGATGTGTGAGTAGGTCACCGTGGATATAGGATGTGTGGGTAGGGCACCGTGGATATAGGATGTGTGGGTAGGGCACCGTGGATATAGGATGTGTAGGTAGGGCACCGTGGATATAGGATGTGTGGGTAGGGCACCGTGGATATAGGATGTGTGGGTAGGGCACCGTGGATATAAGATGTGTAGGTAGGGCACCGTGGATATAGGATGTGTGGGTAGGGCACCGTGGATATAGGATGTGTGGGTAGGGCACCGTGGATATAGGATGTGTGGGTAGGGCACCGTGGATATAGGATGTGTGAGTAGGTCACCGTGGATATAGGATGTGTAGGTAGGGCACCGTGGATATAGGATGTGTGGGTAGGGCACCGTGGATATAGGATGTGTGGGTAGGGCACCGTGGATATAAGATGTGTAGGTAGGGCACCGTGGATATAGGATGTGTGGGTAGGGCACCGTGGATATAGGATGTGTGGGTAGGGCACCGTGGATATAGGATGTGTGGGTAGGGCACCGTGGATATAGGATGTGTAGAGGTAGGGCACCGTGGATATAGGATGTGTGGGTAGGGCACCGTGGATATAGGATGTGTTGGTAGGGCACCGTGGATATAGGATGTGTAGAGGTAGGGCACCGTGAATATAGGATGTGTAGGTAGGGCACCGTGGATATAGGATGTGTGGGTAGGGCACTGTGGATATAGGATGTGTGGGTAGGGCACCGTGGATATAGGATGTGTGGGTAGGACACCGTGGATATAGGATGTGTAGGTAGGGCACTGTGGATATAGGATGTGTAGGTAGGGCACTGTGGATATAGGATGTGTGGGTAGGGCACCGTGGATATAGGATGTGTGGGTAGGGCACCGTGGCACGGCCCTGGCTCAACTCGGTTGTTTCCAGTGGAAAGGACGTAAGAATGCCAAAGAGGAGCACTGCGGGTCGAGGAAGTGCGGGCAGGGCACTGTGGGCACATGGAGCGCGAGTAGGGCGGCACCGTTCACGGGCTCCATGAAGGCGGCGATGGCTCCGGTCATGCGGAGCACCTGCGCGGCGTGCAAGGTCAAGCGGTCGCGGGCAGCGTGCGCGTCGAGCCGACCCCGGTAGGCAAAGTCCAGGAGCCGGGACACGGCCAGAGGGCCCAGCATGGGGGGCAGCTCGCACAGCCAGCGCCCGGGCACAGCTGCGCACAAAAGACAGAGGCAAAGATCCCACCCCCCCCCGTATAGGCTTATCAGATTGTTGGAGGCCGAGCCGACCTAGATGAGGCCCAGGACTGGTTGAGATAACCGTCACTGGTGTTGGACGTGAACGGCAATCGAACCAGGGTGACCGCACACACGCGCATGCACACACGCGGGTCGCCGGGTTAGTAACGCAGCGTGCTAACCCGCTACACTCCCGCTTCCTGCAGACGCACGTACGCACAGGCACATTCGAAGGTATGCAAAAGACAAAGATCCTCCGTATAGCCTTAACAGACTGTTCGGGCAAGTGCTGTTAGCGAGTAGCACCTGTGAAGGCCGGTTCCAGCACACGAGGGGGTGGGTGGCCAGCACCACGCCCGGCAGCCTTTGTCTCCCCAGTGGCGATGTTTACTAAACACCGCACCAGGTACTCATTTGAGGAAGAGTCATCCTCGGGGTGGCCCAGCACCGATTCAAATATTAGTCACTAGAGTTGGTGGCACTTGGGTCACCGGGTTCGTAGCGTAATGTCTAACCGTTGTGCCACCACTCCTCCAGCCGCGGACACACATACAGGCATGCATGCACAGGGAGGCAAAGTTAAAAAAAAAACACATGGACAGGCACAAACACAACACGTTGGGTGAACACAAACGTGCGAGGAACACAAATTAACAGGGACACAAGGCATGACTCATCCATTACAAAGCTCATGTTCATGACGCATGGCCATAATCGTGAAAAAACATTTTTTTGCAATTAAAATGTATTATATTCTGCAAGCACTTTTTTTTCAGTGCGATTTGATAAATGGCAGTGTAAAAGGGTGCCATGATGCACCAAACCAGGGCCAAATTAAAACGGTGATTGTAATGTAATTGTACTTTTCAGCTAACGATGCTGCCTTAACTGTATTTAAAATTGACCAAGTCTGCCCAGTATTCACGTGCAATTATGGCACCAATTTCTTTTTCTGCACACGGCAAGAGCTGCGAGCCATTTGAAAGTTTTCCGCACTCGAACCCAGCTCAGCGCTCTGATCGACTTCCGAGCCACGTCGCAAAAAAAAGACTGACTTAACCTGACGGTCATAATCCGAGATAAAAAAAACTAGTTAAATGTTTACTTGTGTATTGCTAGGGGCAGGCCAATGCGTTGTGACATGGGGAGGGAAACCTGGTCGGAGGCGAGGAATCCACTGGCCCAGCGAGCTGGGATGAATCGTCGGCGTCTCAATCTTCGTGGCCATCTCCGCATCCTTTACAGGTTCCTGCTCCTCTGCCACAGCCGTCTCCGGGTCACTTCTCTCAGTCACTTCGCTGCTGTGCTCCTCAGCCGCCTGATAGCAACTTAAAGCTGTCTCTCCAATCACTATCTCCACAATCCTCAGGACCGCCTGCTCTTCCTTTAGAGCGGCATCTCCCTCTTTCCACGTAACCTCCTCTCCTCCTTCCTTTACATTCGTTTGCGCATCCGTTGTCATCGTCTCCCCTCCCTCCAGAGCTGTCGCCCCTTCCGTCGCGGCTGCGCCGCCGCCGTCGTTTCTGATGGCCGCGCCAAGGCCGTCCTTCTCAGTCGACGTCTGGTCTCTCGCATCGGCCTCCTCCTCCTCCTCCTCTGTCCTCAAGGCCACATCAACGCCACTTCCTTCGCTCCCTGCGTGGCCATTGCTACCAGCCGAGGTCTCCTCGTTCCCGACCATCTCCCCGTCCTCCCACGCGCGTTCCCACCGGTCTGCCCCCACGTCGTTAGCATCGCCGCCGCCGCCGCCGCCGTCCTCCACGTCCCCGTGCGTCTCGACGACCGCGTCTCGAAAGAGAGGGCTGCACGCGGCCAGCACGGCGCGGTGGCACGGCATCACAACCACGAGCTCCCCGGCACCGCCTCCCGTTCCCTCTCCTCCCCCGCCAGCTCCGTCCGCTCCCCCTGCTCCCGATGCTCTCCCTCGGCCGAGCTCCCTCCCCGCGCCCCTCCTCCGCCTGGTTGTGCCGCATCCCGACGATGCTGCAGCAGCGGGAGGAGCAGGAGGAACGTGGACGATGAGCGCCAGGTCGCAGAGCGAGGAGCCCGAGAGGCGCTGGGCGCTCAGCGTCGTCATGATGGAGACGCAGTGGTCGGGGCACGGACGAACCGTCATGGTGTCAGTGGAGGGGAGGAGGCGGAGAAAGAGGAGGTGGTGAAAATGGTAGCGGTAGGGAGGAGGTGAGAATGGTGGGGGTAAGAGGAGGATATAGAGGAGCTGGAGGAAGAGGTCGGCAGAAGAGGAAGGAGAGTAAACCGCGAGGCAGTGGAGATGCAGGATAATTGGATGAAAGATTGAGGTGGAGGAGAAAGCAGAGGGGGCTTAGAGATGGAGGATATGCGAGGGCAAGGAGGGCGGAAAGGAGAGATGCGGTGAAGGTCGAGACGAGATGGGGAGCGTGGAGGAGATGGGGAGCGTGGAGGAGATGGGGAGCGTGGAGGAGATTGGGAGCTTGGAGGAGATTGGGAGCGTGGAGGAGATTGGGAGCGTGGAGGAGATGGGGAGCGTGGAGGAAATTGGGAGCGTGGAGGCAGGGGAGGGATGAGGAGACTGCGAACGAGGTGGACGAGGAGAGGCGATGGTGGCGTTAGCAGAACGGGCAGAGCCACGCAATTCGCCTGGAAGACGAGTGGACTCCAATTCCCTGCAAAATTAATTGTCACAATGTCAGTGGCAATGTCACAGTCCCGGTGCCAAAGTCCTGGTGTCAAAGTCCTGTTGTCACAGTGTCAGTGTCACAGTGTCACAGTGTCAGTGTCACAGTGTCAGTGTCACAGTGTCAGTGTCACAGTGTCAGTGTCAGTGTCACAGTGTCAGTGCTGGTGTCACAGTGCTGGTGTCACAGTGTCACAGTGCTGGTGTCACAGTGCTGGTGTCACAGTATTGGTGTCACAGTGCTGGTGTCACAGTGTCAATGTCACAGTGTCAGTGCTGGTGTCACAGTGCCAATGTCACAGTGTCAATGTCACAGTGTCAATGTCACAGTGCTGGTGTCACAGTGTTGGTGTCACAGTGTCAATGTCACAGTGTCAGTGTCACAGTGTCAGTGTCACAGTGTAAATGTCACAGTGTCAGTGTCACAGTGTAAATGTCACAGTGTCAATGTCACAGTGTCAATGTCACAGTGCTGGTGTCACAGTGCTGGTGTCACAGTGCTGGTGTCACAGTGTAAATGTCACAGTGTCAATGTCACAGTACTGGTGTCACAGTGTTGGTGTCACAGTGTCAGTGTCACAGTGTCAGTGTCACAGTACTGGTGTCACAGTGTTGGTGTCACAGTGCCGGTGTCACAGTGTCAGTGTCACAGTGTCAGTGTCACAGTACTGGTGTCACAGTGTTGGTGTCACAGTGCCGGTGTAACATCATCACAGCACGGACACGCAAACATTGCTCGTGCAACGTTGTCCCGGTGTTGAGTGCTGGTATCGCGGAACGAGAAGGCGCCCCATGAGCGTCAGACACCGCGTGCACGTGCCGGGGGGGGCGGTGACACGGTGCCAGCCGTAGTCTCAGTGACACGGTGCCAGCCGTAGTCTCAGTGACACGGTGCCAGCCACAGTCTCAGTGACACGGTGCCAGCCACAGTCTCAGTGACACGGTGCTGCCGTAGTCTCAGTCACACTGTGCCAGCCAGTCTCAGTGACACGGTGCCAGCCACAGTCTCAGTGACACGGTGCCAGCCACAGTCTCAGTGACACGGTGCCAGCCGTAGTCTCAGTGACACGGTGCCAGCCAGTCTCAGTGACACGGTGCCAGCCGTAGGCTCAGTGACACGGTGCCAGCCAGTCTCAGTGACACGGTGCCAGCCAGTCTCAGTGACACGGTGCCAGCCGTAGTCTCAGTGACACGGTGCCAGCCAGTCTCAGTGACACGGTGCCAGCCACAGCCTCAGTGGCACGGTGCCAGCCACAGTCTCAGTGACATGGTGCCAGCCGTAGTCTCAGTGACACGGTGCCAGCCGTAGTCTCAGTGACACGGTGCCAGCCGTAGTCTCAGTGACACGGTGCCAGCCAGTCTCAGTGACACGGTGCCAGACGTAGTCTCAGTGACACGGTGCCAGCCAGTCTCAGTGACACGGTGCCAGCCACAGCCTCAATGACACGGTGCCAGCCACAGTCTCAGTGACACGGTGCCAGCCGTAGTCTCAGTGACACGGTGCCAGCCGTAGTCTCAGTGACACGGTGCCAGCCACAGTCTCAGTGACACGGTGCCAGCCGTAGTCTCAGTGACACGGTGCCAGCCACAGTCTCAGTGACACGGTGCCAGTCACAGCCTCAGTGACACGGTGCCAGCCGTAGTCTCAGTGACACGGTGCCAGCCAGTCTCAGTGACACGGTGCCAGCCGTAGTCTCAGTGACACAGTGCCAGCCAGTCTCAGTGACACGGTGCCAGCCGTAGTCTCAGTGACACGGTGTCAGCCACAGTCTCAGTGACACGGTGCCGGTCACAGTCTTAGTGACACGGTGCCAGCCGTAGTCTCAGTGACACGGTGCCGGTTACAGTCTCAGTGACACGGTGCCAGTCACAGCCTCAGTGACACGGTGCCAGCCGTAGTCTCAGTGACACGGTGCCAGCCACAGTCTCAGTGACACGGTGCTAGCCGTAGTCTCAGTGACACGGTGCCAGTCACAGTCTCAGTGACACGGTGCCAGCCACAGTCTCAGTGACACGGTGCCAGCCACAGTCTCAGTGACACGGTGCCAGCCACAGTCTCAGTGACACGGTGCCAGTCACAGTCTCAGTGACGGTGCCAGCCGTAGTCTCAGTGACACGGTGCCAGACACAGTCAGTGACACGGTACCAGTCACAGCCTCAGTGACACGGTGCCAGCCGTAGTCTCAGTGACACGGTGCCAGCCACAGTCTCAGTGACACGGTGCCAGTCACAGCCTCAGTGACACGGTGCCAGCCGTAGTCTCAGTGACACGGTGCCAGCCACAGTCTCAGTGACACGGTGCCAGCCGTAGTCTCAGTGACACGGTGCCAGCCACAGCCTCAGTGACACGGTGCCAGCCGTAGTCTCAGTGACACGGTGCCAGCCACAGTCTCAGTGACACGGTGCCAGTCACAGTCTCAGTGACACGGTGCCAGCCGTAGTCTCAGTGACACGGTGCCAGCCACAGTCTCAGTGACGGTCCCAGCCGTAGTCTCAGTGACACGGTCCCAGCCGTAGTCTCAGTGACACGGTGCCAGCCGTAGTTTCAGTGACACGGTGACAGTCACAGTCTCAGTGACACGGTGCCAGTCACAGCCTCAGTGACACGGTGCCAGCCGTAGTCTCAGTCACACGGTGCCAGCCAGTCTCAGTGACACGGTGCCAGCCACAGTCTCAGTGACACGGTGCCAGCCGTAGTCTCAGTGACACGGTGCCAGCCACAGTCTCAGTGACACGGTGCCAGTCACAGTCTCAGTGACACGGTGCCAGTCACAGCCTCAGTGACACGGTGCCAGCCAGTCTCAGTGACACGGTGCCAGCCACGTTCTCAGTGACACGGTGCCAGCCACAGTCTCAGTGACACGGTGCCAGCCGTAGTCTCAGTGACACGGTGCCAGTCACAGTCTTAGTGACACGGTGCCAGTCACAGCCTCAGTGACACGGTGCCAGCCAGTCTCAGTGACATGGTGCCAGCCAGTCTCAGACACGGTGCCAGCCGTAGTCTCAGTGACACGGTGCCAGCCGTAGTCTCAGTGACACGGTGCCAGCCGTAGTCTCAGTGACACGGTGCCAGCCACAGTCTCAGTGACACGGTGCCAGTCACAGCCTCAGTGACACGGTGCCAGTCACTGATTCAGCCGTGTACGCTCTTGCCACGACGAACTGGCTGTTGACACCTCCACGTTCGCGTGACAGGTGCGAGTCCATCCGCATTGTGTATGTCACGTCAACGTGATGCATCGCGGAACAGGAGGCGTTCTCCACAAATCTGGCTGCTGCCCCCCTGATGATGGCGGTTGCGAAACGTCGTGCTCAAGATTGTAAATGTTGTGGATTTGCTCTCCAACACACCAATGTTGCGATAGCAGTAACGAATTGGCACGTTCCGTTTACGTAACAAACCTTACCAATTGCCCCATGGCGTCGGGTGGTGGCGGGTTTAACGACACATGTATATATATTTACGCGATCGAATTTTTTTAAAAAAAAGACCTCTCGTGGATGACATTGGTCGCGAAAGCCGCCTCCAACAACAATGTTGGCGTTAGGGCGTCGCGCGTTCTCACCTCGAATCGAGCGACGCCGTCCCCGTTATCCGATCACTTCGCGGCGCCACATCTCACTTCGCCGTCTAAACTATAACACTTATAAAGTGTTATCACACTTATAAAGTGTTATAGTTTATCATTTACAACGGGGGAGGGAGGTGGTGGGTGGGTATTAAGTTCACCGCGGTCCCTGGAGCCTCCCGGCCGCCTCGAGTGCCGTTGCCTCGCTCAGCGCTCAGAGTTTAAAACGCTCGAGGTGAGAATTCAACTTGCAAGTGAAGAGCGAACGGAGGGTTAAATAGTTTGTGTTAAACTGTTTTACATCAGAGGCGCTCTGTTCGGAGGCGGGAGCCTGTGGCGCGTGGAGCCGCGAGGCCGCGCAGGAAGACTAGGCCGCATGTCCCAACGTCAAATCGTCCGGGCTGCGTGGAGGAAACGTAGCACGGTTTTTTTTTAGTTCCGGCGGTGGGTGGAGCTGTCCGTGGCTGAGCTCCGGAAAAAAACAAAACCCCCATAATTGCCAGCGAGCGGAGCCCAACGGGAGGGGTAAACACGCGCTTCGCTGATTTAACCGCAATACGTTTCCACGTGACAAGCCACTTGATTGAGCTATCGTTTGTGGCCAGGTTGTTTCTGTAAAGATAAGTTAATAGTTCAGTGAGCTTCAGCTGGTAATAAAGAATATGTAGTTTCGTTTTATTCGTGTCTGTCAAGGTTATTTGTTTACCTTTCCTATACTTTGCACTCCTATCGTATTTTTGTATTGTTTGTTATTGGAACTTTCTGACCAATCCCTACTGGACAATCTGTGAAAAAGGAGCTTTTTAGCTCATCGGATTTCTCCTGTATACAGATTCTGATTCTAACATAATACGCCATTTGGTTGAGCTATCATTTGTGGCCAGGTCGCTTCTGAACAATAAGTTAATTCTAGATTTTAAGTGTTCGTGACTGCAAGGATCTTTGGTTCTTTCGGTAAAGTCACGTGGGTATAAAATAAGTAATAAATATAATAAAACAAAAATGAATTTCGTTGTTTTCATTTTTGTTTTATTTAAAATCTATTTTATTATTTCTTACCTACGTGACTTTACCGAATAAGTTAATAGTTCTGTGGGCTTTAGCCGGTAAGATTAAACAATGTCTGAGTTGGTTCTTTCGGTAAAGTCACGTAGAATGAGAATAAAATAATAAATTGATAAAATAAAATAACACAATATTCTGTCCTCCAGACAGTCTCGTCCCTTCACCTGATGAAGGCCGCTTGTGTTGTGGCCGAAACGTCGTGAGACTATTATTGTGTTATTTTATTTTATCAATTTATTATTTTATTCTCATTCTACGTGACTTTACCGAAAGAACCAAAAAAGATGAATCCTTGCAGTCACGAAAGCTTTAAATCGAAAATAAACTATGTTTTGCTTATATATTTTTTAAAGTTATTTGTTTATATTTGCTATACTTTGTATTGTTTGTTATTGGAACTTTCTGACCAACCCCTACTCGACAATACGTGGAAAAAAGAGCTTTATAGCTCATCGTATTTCTCCAGGATAAAGAAATATTCTGATTCTGACATGATAAGCCACTTCATTGAGCTATCATTTGCCATGGACAGGTTGCTTCAGAAAAAATAGCTCTACAGCTCAATGGGCCTTACCTGATTAAAAAATAATAACAACATAAACACAAATTTTGATTTAAAGCTTTCGTGACTGCAGTAATTCATATTCTTAGTTTTTTCGGTAAAGTCACGTTGAAGAGAAACAACAAAATAACAAAATATATATAAAACAATAAAAAATTCTCACGACGTTTCGACCATAACTCAAACGGTCATCATCAGGTGTGTCGGTTTGCATATTTTGAAAAAAAAATAAATTTATGCAAACCGACACACCTGATGATGACCGTTTGAGTTATGGTCGAAACGTCGTGAGAATTTTTTATTGTTTTATATATATTTTGTTATTTTGTTGTTTCTCTTCAACGTGACTTTACCGAAAAAACTAAGAATATAACATAAACACAGTTTAGTTTATAGTGTAGTTGCCCATGGACTACAGTATTCTATTCTTGCCTTAGGCAGCAATATATTCAGGAGCTCAAGACCAATGTCGAGACCTGCTGCTGGCCACGACGAGAGGGCTTCAACAGAGAGAGTTCGTGTCGTTGTGGCTCTTCCTCCTCCGTGGGTTCACCGACGGTGTTCACCATACCTGTCAACCCACGCGGTTTACCCAGTATTGTTTTATAGGGAAATTGGGCTTTCAGGTCCTACGGCGTACAGCCATTCATTATGGGCAACAAAACAAATATTGTCTATATGTTCGTGTTTCTCCCTTGTGATGGGACCAATACGGTCTGAATCTGTGAAATAAGAGCACTTGCTTCAAGTACATTAAAACCATCTTCTTGGTTTAGATATGTTGATAACACTTTGGTTGTCTGGCCACATGGTAAAGATACACTTAATGAATTTCTAAATGATCTCAATTCACAAAACCCGGCCATCTAGTTCACCATGAAAATGGATTTGAATAACACACTCCCCTTCCTAGACATTTTGCTCGGACGCGGCCTCAATAGTAAAGTAACACACACAGCGTCTACCAAAAGCAAACGCACACTGATGCCTATCTGAATGCAGATTCGCATCATTACCTCGCACATAAATCCTCTCTCATCAAGATGCTCATACATCGGGCTAAAACAGTGTCAGATGGTGAAAGTCTGAGGAGAGAGATTAAACACGTTAAAGAAGCGCTACAATTTAATGGCTACAACAATGCTCAAATTAACAGAGCATTGAATGCCAAACCAAGATCGAACAGCAATGCTGTTGAAAGCGATTAGGTTATTAAAACGATTAAAATACCATATATATAACTGACAAATTAGCTCGAGTTCTTGCAAAAGCTAAAAATCTAAATAAGATTTGGCACGGTACACAAAATTCCAAAACTAGTATCTTGTACTAAAGATGAATTGTCTAAGTTATCAACAGAAGGTGGCATATCGGATTAATCGCCTTATGTGGCAAATGCTATATTGGACAGACGGGACGTAACATTAGCGTAAGACTAACAGAACACCAAAGAAACATTAAATACTCTCAAACACAACTGTCAGCAGTGGCAGAACATGCTTGCCAACAAGGACACGAAATTGATTTTGATGACGTTGAAGTGTTGTGTAAAACTAATTATTACTGGCCAAGACTAATTCGAGAATCCATTGAAATTGAGTGAAATACAAATAATTTTAACCGCTCTGACAGCTAAAGGCTTAGTGCGGCCTGGAAGCGTATTTTTTAATAATCTTACAATTACAATTCCTTATAGAGGAAACACATACTTATTAACTGATTACTAATCTAAAATTTACGATACTCCCCCTCTCTCCTCTACCTCTGATGTCTGCACCTGATGGGTTCAGTGATGACGTCGTCCTGCTGCTCTATTTAAGACTGGAAGCAGGTGGATTGCTGCACTATTTCGGCGAATCGCCCGATGATGCTGGATGTAAGCTCCCCATACCCACTCCTCCGGAGAGAGAGAGCAGCCGTCTTTAGAAGAGAGCAGCAAGTCAGAGAGCGAGGAAGACGTTGTAGATCCAGATGACAATTTCAGAGGTGGAACTGAGGAGATAATCCAATACTATACTCTTTGGTTCTATTGGGTAAAGTCACGTAGGTGAAAATAAAATAACAAAAAATCACGACGTTTCGGCCACAACACAAGCGGCCCTCATCAGGTGGCCTGATGAGGGCCGCTTGTGTTGTGGCCGAAACGTCGTGATTTTTTGTTATTTTATTTTCACCTACGTGACTTTACCCAATAGAACCAAAGAGTATGGATGCTAGCAGTCACGAAAACTTTAAATCTAGAATCCCATACTACCCCAAGCAAAAAGACCTCAACGACTTGATCAGAGAGCTTGGTCTCACCAAGTCCAATGCCGAGCAGTGGAACTTGTTGGATGAAAGTGTGCAAGTCGCAGATCAGAGGGAGTGTCACCAAGCTTTTTTCAGCTTCTTCACCTGTCAAGATGGGCTCTGTTCTGCCACAATTTGACCAGTCTATTCGAGGCAGTGAACATCACCTGTAAACAGAATCAGTGGCGCCACTTCATTGACAGCTCATCCAGGAGCCTCAAAGCCGTGCTGCTCCACAATGGTAACAAGTACCCGTCTCTTCCCCTCGCTCACTCGGTGCACTTCAAAGAGGATTACAACAGCATCAAGACCTTGCTGGATGCCTTGAAGTATGTTGAGTACGGCTGGGAGGTCATCGGAGAATTCAAAATGGTGGCATTCCTAATGGGTCTCCAAGGCAGTTTAACCAAGTTTCCCTGCTATCTTTGCCTTTGGGACAGCAGGGACACCAAGGCGCACTACCACAGGTGGGACTGGCCACAGCGGACCGAGTTCTCTGTGGGGAGGAACAACGTCAAGTGGGAGCCACTGGTGGACCCCCCGAAGGTGCTGATGCCACCACTGCACATCAAATTGGGCCTTATGAAACACTTTTCAGAGCTGTAGATAAGGAGTCGGCAGCCTTCAAGTACCTTCAAGACTTCTTCCCTAAGCTGTCTGAGGCAAAGGTCAAAGCCGGTGTCTTTGTCGGGCCACAGATAAAGAAGATCCTGGAGTGCAATGAATTCCCCAAGAAGCTCACTCGTAAGGAGAAAGCGGCTTGGAACAGCTTTGTCGCAGTGGTTCGTGGCTTCCAGGGCAATCACAAGGTCGAAAACTATGTGGAGCTGGTTGAGACTGGTGAAGAACTACGGCACAATGGGCTGTAGGATATCCCTCAAAGTCCATATCCTTGATGCTCATCTTGATAAATTCAAGAACATGGGAGCGTACTCGGAGGAGCAAAGCGAGCGCTTCCACCAGGATATACTGGACTTTGAACGCTGCTACCAAGGACAGTATAACGGGAACATGATGGGAGACTACATTTGGGGGCTGATTCGTGAAAGTGATCGACAGTATAATCGTAAATCTCGAAAAAATATTAACTTCTAAATCTTTTGTAGTCATTTTTGCATTACTTTAGGATGAATACATGTTATGTGAACGAAAAGGCACAAATTCGCCCGTTTTCTCATTGAAAATATCAATGTCCTGGTCACAAAAGCAAAGTTTGTGGGGAATAATAACCATTTTATATACTTATTAGGGATAAGCAATTAGGAAATAACATCTTCTTGGTTCTTTCGGTAAAGTCACGTAGAATGGAAATAAAATGATGAAATAAAATAATAAAATTCTCACGACGTTTCGGCCACAACACAAGTGGCCTTCTTCAGGTGAAGAAACAGGTCTATCAAGAAGACGGAACTTGAATGAACGCTGTTAAGCAATGACTGTGTCTTTGAAACTGTGTGGGCGGAGTTGAATTAGCATGTTACCAGCCCCACCTC